ATTATTTTAAAATTTTAAGTTCCAGAGCTCGCAGGATGTCTGCTTCTTTCTTTATATATATATATACAAATATATAAACACAAATATACAGTAATATCTAAACAAATATACAGTAATATATAAACAAATATGCAATAATATTGATCATCTTTACAACATATACTATTTTCCATCAAAGTGTCGATTATATAACCATCAAAATAATAGCTCATCTATTTTTCTTTCTCACGTAGACCATATTTCATCCAATTCCACTCCTCTAACCTCAATATCTGTCATTTAACCATTTGTAAAATAATTCCCATGTTGTAAAATAATCCGAATCTTCTTTTCCTTTAATTTTTGGGTTAACCTGTCCATTTCTGCACACTCCAGATTTTTTTTTTTTTTTTTGATAATAATATCACCTGCAGGGATTTCTGGGTTTTTCCAACATTGTGTAGAATCAATCCTAGCTGCTGTTAGGAAATGTAAATCCAAATATGTGTTACCCTTCTTATAGTTTCCTGGAAGCATGCCCAACAAAAATGTCTCAGGTTTCAGATCTATGTGTTGTCTTGTGATATTTGTGCATTCTTTTTATTGTTCTGGGATCCAATATGTGATTTTCACTTCTTTTCCATTCTACAGGAATTTGAATTCCAAGTAGAACTCAGGTGACTTGCAATATAGATTTGAAGGGAAGAAATATAGGCCTCTAGCTCTATAGATAACAAAGCAAATATTAAATGCGTGCATGCATTCACAAACATGCACTCCTTTACTTGAATCTGTTTCAAGCTGTTGTTCTGTCATTATTTATAGAATTGTCAAATATATGGTGAAATACGTTCAGTTCTTTTTGATGGTTTGCATTGTTTTCAGCATTTTGGATTAATTAATACGTTTGAGGGAAAAAAATAAAGGCAGAGAAAAAGAAAAATTAAGGGTTTTCAGGCTTTTGAATAGAATAAATTATTCACATATGAGATGCAACTCTTAAAAACATTGAGTTTTCTTCTTAACGGGCCATAAAGTGGAAACTTACCATAAACAATATGAAAAAAGTAATATTAGCTTTTCACTATTTGATGTGATAATGGAATAGGATGCTACTTATGTTCACAGTTTTTTCTTCATTAATTTATAAGATAAATTATATTATAGATGTTAGAAATTCTCAGCAATTAGATATAACTTTCGAATAGTTCCTCTTTCATAGGAGGTGTGGAAATAGTCTATTCTTTTACATCTACTTTTCCATCTTATAATCTTTTGTTAGTTGCAAAATCGTGTCCAACCCATCACAACCCCATGGACAATGTTTCTCCAGGCCTTCCTGTCCCCTACCATCCTCTGGAGTCCATTTAAGCTCATGCCTACTGCTTCGGTGACTCCATCGAGCCACCTCATTCTCTGTCGTCCCCTTCTTCTTTTGCCCTCAATCGTTCCCGGCATTAGGCTCTTCTCCAGTGAGTCCTTCCTTCTCATTAGGTGGCCAAAGTATTTGAGTTTCATCTTCAGGATCTGGCCTTATAAAGAGCAGTCAGGGTTGATTTCCTCTAGGACTGACCGGTTTGATCACCTTGCAGTCCAAGGGATTCGCAGGAGTCTTCTCCAGCACCATAGTTCAAAGGCCTCAATTCTTTGGTGCTCAGCCTTTTTTATGGTCCAACTTTCACAGCCATACATTGCAACTGGGAAAACCATAGTCTTGACTATACACACTTTTGTTGGCAGGGTGATGTCTCTGCTTTTTAATAATCTGTCTAGCTTTCCTCCCCAGGAACAAGCATCTTTTAATTTTTTGGCTGCAGTCCCCATCTGTGGTGATCTTGGAGCCCAGGAAAATAAAATCTGTCACTACCTCCATTTCTTCCATATCTATTTGCCAGGAATCTTATAATCTTAAATACTCTTAAATACTCATAAAACATCAACCATACAGCATTTGTACTTATATACCACTTCCCAGTGCTTTACAGTCCTCTCTAAGCAGTTTACAGAGTCAGCATATTGTCCCAACAATCTGGGTCCTCATTTTGCCCACCTCGGAAGGATGGAAAGCTGAGTCAACCTTGAGTCTGGTGAGATTCAAACTGCCAAATTGCAGGCAGCTGGCCATCAGCAGAAGTAGCCTGCAGTACTGCATTCTAACGACTGCGCCACTGCAGCTCATATACCTTGACAATATGATGTGCCAGTGCATACTTATGTTTGCAAATTTTAATTTATTGAAGATATCTTTGAAATTCCTCATGAGAGATTCAAAATTATTTGGAAGTTGTTGGGTAAAAGGGGAATAGTAAAACACTATTTTTTTAAAAAAATATTTCTGATTTCTGTGTTCATAGAGTTTATAATCACCTCCAACCCCAACTTCACCCCATATTATATATATGAATGGATGCTTTCCAAATATTCTATCTTTTTTTAAAAAAAAAAAAAAAATTATATGCCGCCCTTCTCTGGAGACTCGGGGCAGCTTACAATGCGTTAAGCAATAGCCTTCATACTTTTGTATATTTATACAAAGTCAGCTTATTGCCCCCACAAACTGGGTCCTCAATTTACTTACCTTACAAAAGATGGAAGGCTGAGTTAACCTTGAGCCTGGTGAGATTCGATCTTACAGTAATTGCAGACAGCTGGTGTTAATCACAATGCTATCAGTCTGCTGAGCCACCAGGCCTACTTTTGAAGCCTACTTTAATTAATCTTTATTGTAATATATTCTTTTTATACTATCTTATATATTTTTATTTCATGTTGTTTTTGTCCTACTCTTTGTTCATAGCCATTATTCTTATTTAAAACATTGATTCCAAACTTCAAGGTAAACATTATTTTCATACAAATGTTCGACCCAAGTTTCCTCTTATGCAATGTGCTCACTTAATGTATTTCTGCTATGAGATACAAATGACTCTGTTCAGGGAAATGTCACTCTAACATTGGCATTTGTGGGTGTTTTAATTAATACAAATAAGACCATTAAGACAATAGTTTCATGGAAATTTGAAAACAATTTTGTCTTAAAAGAACTTTTGTTCTGATCACATGTATTTCTTTTCTTCTTCTTTTTTTTTGCATTAAGCAATTTTTTTTTAAATTGCACTGTCTTCAGCCCTGATTTGGTAGAATTATATCTCCCAGTATTTTTCATCATAATGCTTGTTACTTGGACTGCTAGTTGTTATGGTTCAGAATCACCAAGCAAGGTCAGTTTCCTTACACATCCATTTAAAACAAGAGTGACCAACTAATTACTAGCAGGAACAGGAGATCTTATAACATTCTGAACAAAAACTGTTGAATCTCTTCTTAGAAACTTCCATTGATGGAGCACCCACAGCTTCTGGAGGCAAGCTTCCACTGATTAATTGTTCTCACTGACAGGAAATTTCTCCTTAATTATTTACATCCAGTACTTCTTGTCCTACCCTCAGGTGCTTTAGAGAAATTTCGACCCTCTCTTCTCTTTGACAGGTCCTCAAAATTACATCCAGTGAGATCATCATAAAGCTTCTGAAGTTTCCAGAAATTCCATTTTTACCCTTGTGCAGTTGATTCTATTTTCACAATTCATCAGCTAGCCATACCCTTATTTGGATTCAAACTTGAACTACCTGCATGTTAGGCAGTTGTATTAACCTCTGAGCCACAAGTTATCCTCCTTTCATCAGCTTGAGCCAGGCGAGAGATTAAGTGTTTTTCTATCGAGACACCTGGTCTTTATCAGCAAAATATAAATTTGGTATAAAATGGTTTGTAGTGAATGTGACTGCTCCTGGATTGGAGCTGAAAGGTGAAAGGGATGCAGTTTGCTCCCTCCCACATGCTGGGGTAGACCAGGTGTCTCGATAGAAACACACACACACACACACACACACACACACACACACACACACACACGGTTTGTGCTTACTTATTCCAACAATAGCTTGCATAGCCCAGGGTGGAATACAGTAAGAATATATGGTACTATACTTTATACTTTCTCTAATAATATTATGTTAGTTACAACTTCAAGAGGATCATATTTTTGAGGGTATGACTGTATGTAATAGTGTCTTGTGTCATTAGAGGATGCAAACCAGGGGTGGGTTCTACTTACCTTTACTACCGGTTTGCAACAGGATCGCTTCTGCATGCGCAGATTGCTGATGACGACCTCCGGGGCAGTGGGCGGGGCCTCCCACCGGTTTTACTATCGGTTCTTGCGAACCGGTCCGAACCAGGGGCAACCCACACTGATGCAAATTGAACCAAGATTATTTCTAGTATATGCACGTGTGTTCATGAACATAATTTTTCTTTTTGATGCTGATTTAAGAACTAATTATGCTTAATTACTGTGGGGCTCAGGCAAGAAGACCATTTATATTTAAGTTGCATGCAACCTGACAGCATAATTCAAAACGATCTGCTACGTAGACAGCTATTAGGATTTTATTGAGAAAAAAACTAGAACCAAAAATGTACACAAAGAATAAAGTATATAGACGGAGAAGTAATTCTTGTGGTTCAGTCTCTTATGTATGCTGAAATATCCTTGCTTGTCTCCTAACTAATGCTTTGCATCTCCTCCCCTTTCTCTTTCTCCTGTCTGCATTACCTTATTTGTATTCTTTTCCTTTTTTTATTTTGCTCTTTAATTTTGGAATTTATTGCCCCAAGTTATTTGTCTATGAATCTGAATCAGTTCTCTTTCTCAAAGTGCTCGAAGGGTCATCAGTTTTATAGCTTTTCCTTATTAATTGAGATGTTGCCCTCAGATTTAAATAGGTAAGTAATGGGCTGAGTATAGAACCTTGCTTTCAAGTTCTTCAGAAATCACTGTGATGTAACAGATTTATGGATCGTTGTGCTGAAAGTACTGAAGATTGCAGGGAACGGAGGGAAAGTTAATAGGCCTTTGTTTGAACAGTGCTTCATCTTTTAAATTCTTTTCCTAAAAAAAAAAAAAAATACCCCACATTAGCATTGCTTGCTAACATATGGATGCTATTTCTTGACAGGAACCTTTCTCTTAAGTTATCCAAGGAAGTGGATCGAGGGGAAGCCCGATGTCCTCGCCTGAATCAGCTGGCCAACAGCCCATCTATAGAATGGCCCTTTGCAGCCATGGAGGAAGGTGGCGGCCTGGAATCTCTGCCCTTCCGGCTGATGATGCAAGACTGCACAGCAGTAAAAACATTGCTATTGAAAATGAAGAGGGTTCTTCAAGAGGTAAGCTTTTAAAGGATCAAAATAGTTTTTTAAAAAATAATGATGGTGTGATTGACCGCTAAAGAATGGTCAATCACTTTTATTGACCACTTTTATGTTATTTGCAAATTATTGATTGAACTCCACAATTATTCTTAAAGATTATTCTATTAGATATTCTTAATGGTCAGAACTTGATAATAGCGGCTCCTGGCTTGCTTTCTATTCTGCAGTATCAATTGTGGGTAGGAGAAGAAATAAACTATTTTTGTTTACAAGAGCAGGTAAAAACATAATGAAAAACTAAAGAAAAAAATAGAATAGAATGGAAGGGAAGGGAATGGAATGGGAAGAGTCAGAGGAATAGGAATAGGAATAGGAATAGGAATAGGAATAGGAATAGGAATAGGAATAGGAATAGGAATAGGAATAGGAATAGAATAATACTTTATTTGGCCAAGTGATGTGATTACCCCTTTTCTCCCAAAATAAGACATCCCCTGATAATAAGCCCAATCGGGCTTTTGAGTGCATGGCAATAAGGCCACACACTTATTTCAGGGTCCAAAAAAATATAAGACAGGGTCTTATTTTCAGGGAAACACAGTAGATACAGAAGGAATTTGTCACACAAGGAAAAAAAGAAATGAAGAGCTAGTCAGAAAGCATTAGGATGCCAGTCAAGTTTGAAACAATAAATAAAAGCTTGTTGGGATCTTATTGACTTGACTTATAATTGTCCCTGGTCATGTGAAATATTTGTGGTACCTTACAGACGGCCACATGGTCAAGTAGCCATTTGATCTCTCAGCCATGCAGGTAGATCAATATTCATCCATTTCAGTAATGTTTTAAGCATTCTGTTGGAAGACTTGAAGTAGATCTGGACACTCTGAAGAGCTATTAGACCTTTACGTAGCAACTGCTTCAACTGAAAGTATTGCATGTGAAATGGTGATCTTGCTGGTACATTAAATTACGTTTCACTGGTACAGACATTCTCACTTCAGGTGAGAATGTGAGAAGATTAGGAGCATCTGCTTCTGTTTTTGATTCTCACTTGGTTTGCCCCACACCTAAACTGCAATTATTTTAATTATTGCTTATTTAAACAAACCAGATTTAGAACTTCAGTTTGACCTTCATTTAATCAGATAAACTGCAGTCAGCAGAAAAGAATGCATTTATTTTTCTTGCACTCCTATGAGCAAAATAGGTGGTAGCGGAGAATAACACAAGGATCAGACTTATCCCTGTAGCTTGAAGATGGAAGAAGTATTGAATCTAAACAAGTCAGTGTGAAATTGTTATCTGTTGTGCTAACACTGTGACTTACAAATGAAAGTCATCAAGCAATGCTTGATAGTGGATGTATATCAGTGGTGGATTCTCGGGTCTGTCTGGTTCTTTAGAACAGGTAGTAAAAGCGGTGGGAAGCTCCACCCACCAGCCTGGATGTCATAATTGACGATCTGCGCTTGCGCAGAAGCAAGATGTCATAATTGACTATGTCAATTATGTCATAATTGACAATCTCTGCATGCATGAGAAGTGAGAGCGTGTGCGTGCTCCCATTGCAAACCAGTAGTGAAGTTAAGTAGAAACTACCCCTGATGTATATACACTGCTCAAAAAAATAAAGGGAACGCAAGCAGAAGACATCCAAGATCTGAATGAATGAAATAGCCTTATTAAATATTTTGTTCGTTACATACAGTAGTTTTGTGTTCCCTTTAGTTGTTTGAGCAGTGTATAAACTACTGTATGTAACGAACAAAGTATTTAATAAGGCTATTTCATTCATTCAGATCTCGGATGTCTTCTGTTTGTGTTCCCTTTATGTTTTTGAGCAGTATATATCGAATGGTATTTGTTCAATGGACTTTTGTTATTTTATAATGTTGGGAAGAAACTTATCAATGAATTCCTATTGTGATATAACTTTACATAAGTTTTTGGAAGGTTTAGGATTAGAAAATACATAGGGTTTTTAATTAAAATTTAAAAAAAAACATAAAACAAAAGCAATGTTTGGAAAATGTACATTACTGTTATATCAGAATAAATATGAAGAACTACAGGAATGTTGCAGCCATATAAAAGAGCGTCAAAATGCTAATTCTGTCATCTTTGCTTGTGTTCATAGCCTGTCCATAATTAGGCATCTATCTATGAAAAGGAGGGCTAGAAACTTTGTAAAATGAAAGTTTATGTAAAAATACAAATAGCAAATAGCTGATTCTGGAATTTATAAAATCAATAATGAGCAGTCATGCAATAAGGATTGTATCAGGGGTGAAATCCAGGTTTTGACCGGTTCTGGAGAACTGGTAGCGGATTTTTTTTTTATTATTAAAAAGTTTTACAGAAGGTTGACATATTTATTCCCCCCCTTCCCTACCACCCCCTCCCCTCCCTTACCCCCACCACCGCTCCCCCCACCCCTTCCCCTTCCCATCCGCCCACCTCCCCCCCTCTTCCCCCCTCTTCCCAGAACAGATTACAGGGTATAACATTCAACAATCATAATCCATCCTAATCTAAATAATTATAACATTCAGCATCTCTTATTCCTTCAATTCCCTAATTACCCTGCTAACTTAATTACCTAAAAAACACACCAAATATCTACATATTTATTCATAACCTATCTGCAACTTCTTATTCCAATATTTACTTTGGATATAATCTATCCATCTTCTCCAGTCCCTTAAGTATCTTTCATTTGAATGTTCCTTCAAGTACACCGAGATTTTTTGCCATTTCCGCTAGGTTTGTTACTTTCATTGTCCATTCTTGGATTGTAGGTAAATCTTGCTTCTTCCAATATTGTGCCACCAACAATCTTTCTGCAGTTATTAAATTCAAAATCAAATTAGTCTCTATAACCATACAATCCGTAACTATACCCAGCAGAAACAATTGTGGTGTAAATTTTGAGTAGTTCAGAGAATTGGTAAATACCACCTTTCGCAGACCCCAGAGTGGGGTGGGAATAGCGATTTTGCAATATCCTTCCCCCAGGAGTGGGGAGGGAATGGAGATTTTGCAGTTTCCTTCCTCTGCCATGCCCACCAAGCCACGCTCACAGAACCGGTAGGGAAAAATTTTGAATTTCACCCCTGGATTGTATGCTAGATCTTTCTCTCTGAGGCCAATAGCATCTCCAAATTTCTAACAAATTAAATGTATTCAGTTGTAAATCTCTGCAGGTATTTTTTTTTTCTAAAAGAGGTTTTAATTAACCAGCACACCATTACACATTTATTGAATAAATCTCAATTTAAAGCAAACTTTTTCAAATAATGTGTGCTAAAAGTGTCATCATTCTGTAACAGTTTAAAATACATTAAATATGAATATTGTCCTTAATATTGTTCTTCAATATTACAGCTGTCATTTTATAAATGTGCCTATATTTATTGTTATGGTTAATGGATTCTGACAACAGTGTAGTAATATATCTCAAGCCCCCTGTTTATTTTGCTTCAGTATCTGTTTGCCATCCAGTTACAAATCACATTGTTTGTTGGTATGAAATTCAGTCCATTGCTGTTCCTTTTCAGACAGAACTGTTATGAATAATTACTGAAGGATCGTCATACAGGAGCGAAGAATAATTCTTTTGATCCTGCTTCTACTCTTCTTTAATTATTAAAAATAAAGCTGAAGATAATTTTTCCTCATTCAATTTTCTGTCAGACAAACTCCTGATGAAAACTGTTATTCAAGGGATCCCAAGTTGAGTTGGAAAGCTGAATATGATGAATATGGAGGATTGGGCTAAACATATATAGACAGTCACTGTAGTAGTGGCTACAAAAGCTTCATTATGGAAATACTCATTTCTCCATACTTGTGTAAAGATAAAGATTCCCCTCGCACATATGTGCTAGTTGTTCCCGACTTCAGGGGGCGGTGCTCATCTCTGTTTCAAAGCCGAAGAGCCAGCGCTGTCCGAAGATGTCTCAGTGGTCATGTGGCCGGCATGACTAAATGCCAAAGGTGCATGGAATGCTGTTCCCTTCCCACCAAAGGTGGTCCCTATTTTTCTACTTGCATTTTTTACGTGCTTTCGAACTGCTAGGTTGGCAGAAGCTGGGGCAAATAACGGGAGCTCATCCCATTACGCGGCACTAGGGATTTGAACCGCTGAACTGCTGACTTTTCGATCGACAAGTTAGCCACTGAGCCACCACGTCATGTATGTTTATACTTGTGTATTTATTTGTAAACATTTCCCCTTAAAAGAAATCCAAAGAGCAAATTTTCTAGTTCAGAAATTTTGGCATTTTTTTGTATTGCTTTAGGCCAACTATTCCAATGACTTGGCAGTGGAACTGAGGAACCTCATTTCTTTTTCTGAGTCATTTGCACTTCAAATAATCTGCATATAAAAGATTATTCTCTCACACACAACCGAGGAGTGAATGGAACATGCACCGTTCCTTTCATAGTCTGAATAATTTTGGACTAAACGAGGTGGTGCTTAAAGACCGCAGAGATAAAATGTCTGTCATAATGAAGAAGGCAAAGTTAATGGTAACAAGGTTCCTAATGAGTTCTTCCACTCTGTTAATAAAAAGCAAGAGGAAATAAAAGCGGGATAAAATGGAGGGCACTGAGGAGTTCCTAACCCATGTTATATAGTAATTGAGTCTCCCAACAGCTTAATTGGTTTTAAAAAAAAAAATAAAGTGTCAAGTTGTCAAACATAATTTTCAAAAGTGTGAAGCAACAATAAAGATGCAAGTGCAAAATGTTAAATTCTTCTTTTGGATTTCACCCATGTACATTAAATATACGTTAACTTGAAATTACTTCCTATGGAAGCCAACAGTAGCTAAGAACTGGCAGATGTGACTGCAGATTTTTGTTTATGTAGTAATAACAAGTTATTGCTCACAAAACACTAGATACGACCATGGTTGAAAAGAAAATAAGTGTGGATAATTAATGTGGCAATATTAGGGCATAGTAGAATAGAAGGCAAAGAATTGGAGAATGTCACTGTGTTTTTG